GGCGGAAGCCGGTGCAGAAAACGTGAGTGTCCGCAGCGCGTCCTCGGCGCGGGGGCTGGGCGCCCTGGCACGCGGGTGCGGGGAACGGCCGCACCCCGCCCCCAAATCCCCGCGATCCCGGGGGATTAGGTCGGTTCCCGACGCAGCCCGGGGAATCGTGACTGGGAGGCCGGTTGAGAGACCAGAGGCTCGGATTTTGCCGTTTTCGACGATTGCCTCTCAAAACCGCAGCCCCCTCCCCCGCAGCGGCGCCCCCGCACCCCCCTGGGTGGCCACTCGGTTCTTTGGCCTTGGGTCCTAATTTGTTGACAGCCCTGATCTGCCTTGTGGTGCTGGTGGATTAGTTCGCATAAACCTGTCTTGAAATCCCCTTCCACTTGTAATATCCGCATGGACCGTCTTAATTCTCATTCCTGGTAGAGTTTGGGAGGACGGGATGTTTTAAAGAGCTGAACACGTGCCGTCTCGTAGGAAGGCGCTGAGAGTCTCTAAAGGTGTTTTGTTTTGTTTTGGTCCATAGCAGCTGGCTTTCCTTTGCGCCCTTTTATTTATTTGGCAGTGATTTTGTAGCGCTCATCGTGACCATATCGGTCAAGTGGCTAGAGTCGGTAGCAGGTAGGCGTGAGTGCAGTGGGCAGGACACCGTGGAGGATGTGTCTACTTAGACACCTTGGGGAGAAGCCTACTTATCACTTTTGGGGTGGCTTCTGGGTCTTGAAAGTAAAAGAAGTAGAACCTTACTTGACAGAGTTTTCATTCTTAGCACCCAGTTCTAATTCTTTTTCCCTTCAGAGTTTTGTCAGTGCTAACCGAGTGAGCACAAACTTGGAGTTTGTTTGTTTGTTTGTTTGTTTGTTTTGAGGGACTATTTGTGTGGGATGGCAATTACTTAAAAAAAATTTTTAAGGAAAAAAATCCGTGCTTGAGACAGATTTCCTTGTGTGAGTTGGCTGTATTCATGTGTATTTCTAATTTTTTTCTCTTGAGTTACTTTACTTCACCTAAGTTTTTCAAGTTTTCATAAACAATTTTAAGAACTTAAACATCTGCTGACACCAAATCAGAAGTGTGCATTTTGCTTAAATCTTAACTATCACTAATGGGAACCAGAAACATAGCAGCTTAAGATTTATATTTAAAACTGGTTATTGGTTTAAAAGCTTCATCTTTCTGGGATTTTAATTTTCTTTGAGAGTTTCAGTCATCATAGTGCTTTAGAACTGGGCTTATGAATTGGCATTAACAGAGCATAATCATCTGCAAATAGACAGTGATTAAAATGTGGAAGTTTTATGGTACAGTGTGTTTTACAGGAATATTGTCAAGTCAGCAATTTTCTGCCTTGGCAGTTTGAGACATTGTCTTACAATACTTTTCGTTTTGTAGAATGATTTCTTATATTAAAGTGTATTTATCTAATTTGACTTTGCCCTTGATGGTAAAAATTGGGAGGCATCCCAAATGCCTTTTCTATGTATTTATTAATCAAATAATATATTCAACATAATGTGTAATAGGGATATCATAGGTTTCACATATATAGTTAGAAAACTTGATGATCTCCCTGATTTATTTTTAAGATACTGGATTTCGGTCAGTATGTTACAAAAGGACCAAGATGGCTTTGTAAACAGAAATAAATGCCATAATTTTTTTATTCATTATAAGGTTTGAGATTTATGCTTTCTAGTTAATATGTTATAAAATGTCTTCCTACTTAACATGTTACATTTTTCTTTTATTTGTGAAAGATGTACCGTGTAGCATCTTAATATTTTAATATACTTCCTTAGATTTTAATGTTCTTGTATTTTATAATTTCTTGTAACACAATAAAAGTATTTTTCCAGTTCACCCACTTTTTATTTATTTAGCATAGGTGTTTATCAGATCTTTAGTGAGCACTATGTGTTGCTTCTAATCGTATAAATGTCTTAGATGTCACCAGCTTGCTCTGTTTAAAAAAAAAAATCCCACAAGGACTGGAATTTTCATTATCTAGTGAAAATGTTTATGTGAATTACTTTTACTTGAAAAATTAATTAACTTCATAATGTAGCAAATCAGTTATTTTAGAAAGGAGGCCATTAAACCTGATATTAAGTTTGATGAGTTTTAAGTTAAACTAGTTTGTGGCTAATGAGGTCTAAGACATGCCAACCTTGTCTGGGAAAAATGCATCTTGTTTTGAGCTGAAAATGCTATCCAGATCTACTTAACTTTGACCCTTAAATGATAACCATTTTATTTTACATACAAGAAAATTTGCTGTAGCATAGTTATAGGACTGTTTTTCAAAAACAGCCATTTAAATACACAATTCCATAAAGTTTTGGAATAAAGTATGTGACATAATTGTAATCTGAAGCTCTTCCAGTCAATCTTCAATTTAATTTATTAAGCAAAATAAACTCCCCCTAGTGGCAGGTCTCACTTTGAAAATTATCTTTATTAGTAGGAAATACATTTTAAATGTGTTAAATTTAATCCCACTAAAGTATGTTGTACATAGTAGATTTATTAAATGTTTCTTTTCTCTATGAAGAAATGAAAATCAGGAAAGTAAAGAATCTGAAGCGCCTTTGCGTCTGATCTGTGTTCTTCAAAAAGAAACTTTGAAGAAACCTTCAGAATAGAATCTAATATAACTACACTTACACTGTTGCCCCATACTTAGTTACCCTGCTCAATAAAAGAACAAATATTTTAATCTAAATCCTGTTCTTATTTTATTCTCTTTGGAGATGAAAGTATTTCTGTTTATTTGTGTACTTGTCTCATAAAGCCAGTCAAAAAGCCCAATATAAAATTAAACAATCCGTTTTTCTCTAGTGATAACAACTTTGGATATATTTTTATATCTTTGAAGTTTTATTAATACAAAAAGTTTTAATGTCATTTCAATTTACTATTATTTATAGACGATTAGTACTGAATGTTGGCAAATAATAGGTAGTGAATAAAGGACACTTACACTTAAAAATTATACCAACAGTTATGATCATCAAGGCAGCAATCATGAAATGTCACAAATGGAAGTAACTTCTGATTTTAACTGATCCTTTGTTAAAATGCATACTGATAAAATCTTTTACTTTATTAAAATACTATATTCATATACTACAAAAGCATTATCTTCCTTGTTCGTCTTGCTATTCATTTAAATATCTTGGTCCTCCTTTGACTAATACCTACTTACTGAATTTTGTTACTTATATTTGATAACACTCTTTAAATGTTTCCTGTAAATGTATGTTGCCATTTTCTAAATAGCATCTAAAATAAAAAGTTAGTTCTTTTTGTTTACATAATTATTTCAACGTCATCATTTTACTCTGAAATAGCTTTATTTAGGTAGCTTGTCCACAGTGGCTATGGACACTTTTGCACACTGAAACTATGAAATGAAGTAAGTGAAAAGTTTAATTATAGGGAACACTAAATGGCACAAAGAGGAAACAGGTATAAATGGAGAGCACTGGATTCAAACTTCAAAATAAGGTCTCGCTTTCCCACTGCTATACAACTAGGCGAGTTTCTTGACCACTAAAGCAGGCAAATCAATATCTGCCCTGCCACTCTTACAACTAAACCTAGCAGAACAAAAGCATTTTATAAACTGTGAAGACTGCTTAATAGGTATGTGAAACAAACATAAATTCCATTCTTTAAATAATTTCAGCTTACATTGTCACAGAACAATCAGTTCTCCTGTAAAACAGTAAGAGGCAGTATATGATTATGTTCTCAGTTACGGATACGGCTGAAATGTGCTACTTCACTGATGAATAAACTAATGTAGTAAGTGCATGCTTATTTGTGTATTTAATTAAGACAGTTACTGAGACACAAATGCCATGCAGATCTTCAACAACAGTACCTTTCTAGTTCCACACTTCCTTTAAAATTGATTTTTTTTGGCATAGTTGTTTAATATAACAAAAACTACTGTGTATTGGCTTATTCTGATAAAAGCATGCACAGTGCTTTACATACATCATTTTACTTTATTCTTATAATAGTACTAAGGAAAGGTAGCATTATTAAAGTTTTATAGCTAGGGAACTAAGGTTCAGATTCAAAATTGCTCAGGCTGTAAATGAAAAAGCAAACTTTGGATATTGGATTCCAGGTCTTTTGACCCCAAAGCTTGTGCTCTTACTGACTTCATGATATTGTCCAGGTAACCAAGTTCAGTGATGCAAAGTGTACACCCATATCTTAGGGAGTTCCCATTGCCAACTGTTTCTTCTCAAATAGTGTCTTGGTTGAAATAAATTCTCCTATCCTATTGATTTGCTACCTACCTCTCCTCTCCCTTTAAAAATTGTTTTTTAATGACTTTGTAGGGTTAATATTCTATAATTTATTTAACTGTTTTCCCTTCGGGGAGAAATTTTGGTATTTCTAATCTTTCAATATTTTAACCAGTATTTCAGAGAATTCCTTTGAGATGTAAATATTTCAGGATTATGGAAAAATAATGATTTTTTAGGGCGTATTTCATTTTCTTGGTTTTTGTTGCAAACGTCATGTGGTAGAGACTTTCTTAGGAAAAATTCCTATAAGTGGCGATTTGAGGTAGACTGTTATGTATATTTTTAAGGCTGAGCCAAATATTGTACTCTGAGAGATAGTGTCAAATTGCTTTATCACAAATTATATTCCCATTGTCAGGCTGTGGATGGGCCTGTATGTAACTTTAAACTTTTGCTTTAAAAGATTATTGTCAATTTCATAGGGAAAAGGATGCGGTCAGTAATTGAATTTATAGGTTGGAATTGTGTGTAGTAATAGGTGTGTATTTGCAGATTTTCTACTTAACTGTTTTTTACATATTCATTTGTTTGTTTTATGTTTTTCAGTTGTTTTTAGTTCTTTTTTTGATTGAAATAGTGTTTAAAAATGCATTTCTTTTGAATAACACATGCACATTTAAAAAGCCAATGATATATAGAGAGCATCTTAGGTTTAGCAAGTTTAGGTATTATCTTTTGGTGTCTTATTGTGGTAGTTAATGAT